GAGCCTCTTGCTAATTGTTTGTTATAAAAATGCTATAATTTTGTTATTAAAAAAGACAAAACCTTGAGTCAAATTTCTATAATCAATAAATAAAGTTTCGTACTTCAAAATTATTCTATTACGCCTCTATTCAATTGTTCTAATAAATTTTTTGTATATAAATCTTATTATTTAATTCTATACATTATGTCATCCTTATTCGTGGCTTTTTGTCTTGCTAAAAATGTTACTGGAAATGATAGTTACATTACTGGAACTGTATTATATCGAATAAACAACAATACTAATCAATTTAGAGAAATTACTTTCAAAGGTTTCCCCGGAAATTCTGATTCATTAGTTATTCTATTTGAAAAAAACTCTATTATCTTAATAGTTGGCCATTTAAATACTTTGTTATTATCTTTCATTAGACCATACCTCTTGTGAATCTATAATCTCTGAATGTAAAGATTCATTAAACTATGAAATATTACCTCATGATTATTCATTTTCACAATTTAAAAATATAACAAATTTACCTCGATCTTTATACTTACAAGAAGGTGCCCGAGTTATGTTTTTAAATAGCAAATTATTTGATAATGGTATCTGCAATTGCACCATTGGGATAATGACTAAGCTCATAGATAACGATAATATCAAAGTAACTTTTCCTACATATAAAGGAGTAAGCAAAGTAATAGTCCAAAGAGAAACTTCTTACTTCTATATCAACGGTCAAACAGCTTCAAGACAACAATTTCTGCTTCCAAATATATTCGCTCTTACTACTCACAAGGTGCAAGGTTTAACCTTACTGCACGTCACTACTAGTATTGATGAAACTGTATTTGCTGAAGGCCAAGTATATGTTGCTATGAGTCATGCAACTTCGTGGAATACTCTTCAAATCTTAAACTTTGATTACAATTATCTTAAATGTTCCACTGCAGCTCTAGAAGAATATAAAAGATTAATAATTATACATAACAGAGGTTTACATAATTTATAATTTATTTTT